TTATTAAAAAGAAAATAATATAGCGATAATAATATACATTCCCTTTACTATTAAATAAAAATTATTTTGGGGGTAAATTGTAAATTATTACCAGGAAATTATTTAAGCAGCATAATCCTGTCTATGGCATATTTCCTATAGAGTATATGTTGTAAAAACATATTTGCCGATTCCAATATACTGTATTTTTATAGAGTTAGTAGATTATTTTTCATTGTTGCAACAGGTTTAGCTATGGAAAAACAAAAAATAACAGGTTTGTGACAACTCAGCAGTAGATGTTTATCTCCAACATACTTTTAACTTGCACTCCATATTGTGGTGTAATATAAAACCCCAAGCCTGATAGAAACAGCAGTACCTCACATTGATACATGGCCATTTTAATCATAAAAACAACGGGAAAATAGAAAACATAGAACCTGATGTGAAGAAGTTGTCAAAAAGTTTTGAAAAGTTTTGAAAAGTATAGTTTAAAGGAGATTATATTTTACAAACTTGTTATGAATGCAAAGGCTTGCAAATTTTCAGTTTTTGCATATAGTAACAGATTATGAAATGTGAACAGAGATCACAGACTACCTGCCCATGGCACTTGTTTTTCATCTAGGCATAACTGCACCAGGCCACCCCAATCATAGTTTTGATTATAACCAGGTGTTCTGGAAACCTCAGTGTGTGTCCTGTTTGAATATATGAAGGGGTAAACCTTATCCCTCTTACGCAATCATGACCCTACCCCTCTTGCTGTACTTCTGACAAACTCTGTACAACACTGGATTTCATCTGTATGAAGGCTGAAATAAAAGACTTTACATTTGTATTGTACAGTATATTTGTACTACACATCAGTGGTTCTAGGATGAAGCATTTTTTGGATTGGTGACAAACGTTTTATTAGTGTTGTGGTGTACTTCATAATATAATTTAACTTGTTACTAATATAAAGACTTGTTCTGCTATTTTGACATCTGGAAACACAATTTGGAAGACCGAAGTGCTAATAAAATGGAACAAAGGAGATTGCAGGTATTCTCCAATAGCCATTTATGTTTCATTTTACTAGTGTAGTTTAAATGTTTGATTTAGTGGTCCAATCCAGATCAGATAACAAGCATCTTTCTTACAAAGTGCACCCACACATATTATATATTGTTTTTTAGAGTACAGATAAGGCTATATATTTATATCACATATGTGTACCTAACACTTCATTTAGGACAAATAAAATGTTAAAAAAGGAAAAAAATGTAAAGAAAACACTTTATCCCCAGTTTTGATTTGTAGTATTTTTTAGAAAAACAGCACAGCTAACAAAATGCATTAAATACATTCATTTATTTGTCATTTATTTGGAAAAACCTCACATTCCCAGGATTTTAGAAATGTTTCTGTACTTCTCAGCCTAAAACTAAAACCTAACATTTTAATCTTTTTTTTCTAAAAGCTAAAAGTGCTCACCTGGCATACAATGTCACTGTCACTAAGTGTCACACTTAGTAACAGTGACGTACTTTTAACATCACTGTCATGAGGGGGTTACATTAGGGTGAAAAACAAATCTCCAGCTCAGCTGCAGACTTTCATTGTAATGGGTTAATTTTATATTAATGATAGTATAAAAATATATTTAAATATATAATTTTTATTTGTTACATTTATTTTGATTTTTTTTACACTTTTTTTAAACGTTTCACTATGTTTTAAAATATTTTTTACATTTTTTGTTTATTTATTTAATTACATCAAGCAGTCATTGTGAATTCATTTCACTATTACTGCTTGATAATTTAATGAATTCATTTTTGGTTATGATTCGGCTGCTTCAAAGTTAAAGGAGAACTATGGGGTAAGTCTTGTCCCCATAGTTCTACCCAGGGTCACGGGGGGACACAAACTAGCATCCTCCCAAGCTCCCAAAGCTCAGTATACCGCGAGCTACAGCTCGCGGTATACTGAGACCGCCGCAGCCGGGACGGATCCCGACATTACTGTCAAGATCCACCCAGCTGCGTGGTTGACAGTTGGCCTCCAGTCAGCGCTGGAGGATCGGACAAGGGAGAGGGGGATCCCAGCAGGGAGCCGTGAGTGACAGTCAAGGCTCTCTGAAGGGACAGGATCGAGAAGTGAGCGAGAAGTCACGCGTCGGCTCGAACTATGAGGCTGAGTGATTTTCACTCACCTCATAGTTCTCCTTTAAGAACCGCCAAAGATAACCTTAGTGACACTGATCATGCAGCATCCAACAACAGTTCCAACAACCATCAGAAAACCTGCAACATTGTATCAGCAATAAAAACATGTATCGAAATGCTTCTATTGCTGAAAGTTTAGAAGAAAAAGAAAGCCGGTATACATCTGGATTTCCTGATCTATACCAGCTGTCAGTGTCGGCTAGTGCTGCAAATGCTGCTCTGCTCTCACTGTCAGACACCCGATTCCTGAAAGGGATCGGGTGTCTGAAAAAGCTTAACTCATTTATTAATGGATGCCTCAATACTGAGGCATCCATTAATGAATGGTAACCGCTGATTCTCAGCAGTTACCAGCCTTACAGAACCCCAAATAGCTAATCATGTACAGTGTACGTGAGCAGTGATTTGGGCACTTCTACATCTCCCGTAGGGGTTAAACTACACACCACATTATTTCCCTGGTGCTAGATTTTCTGGCTGAATTAGAACTCAGGAGTCACAACCACACATCAAATTATGAAAGGTAATGCCAGACTAGATTTATTTTAAGAATCGCCTAACTCAGCAACATACTAAGCTGCATGGATCTATGAACATGGGGGGTTTAGCAAGGCACTGATTTTGCTTAGCACTAGACAATGAATGTAGACTGCAATATTTGCCTGTTTATTAATATGGCTCCCTCAGCATTCCCTCCCTATGTTTACGTTAAAGGTGATGCCAAACAACAGGAGTCACATTCAACACAGTTAGGTACTCATGATAAGTGTCTAGGACAGCAGTGAAAAAATGTGAACAGTACAAAACAGTAAACAGGAGATGTAGCCGCCCAAGCAGCCTAAAAAATTGTATTCTTTTTTTGGATGGTGCGTGCTTTTAACCTACACACAGAAATGTTCTTGAGACTTTCAAGCCACAAAAGTAAACTATGGAATTATATGTCAGGTACTAGACATGTAACCCTGCAAAAAATGTGTTTCGTTTTGAAATTTTTTTTCTTTCGTTTTCACAATTTAGATCTGAACTCTGTATTGGTTTGATATTCGGATTTCAGATCTGTCTGAATTTTCGTTTCGTAGAGATCCACAACAGGAAGTTACATGACTGTGCCTGTAATGCAACTCCCAACAGCCCAAAAAAGCATCTGATTGGCCAGAGAGCAGTCTAGCAGGTACCTCTAGGTTCCTTCGCAAGGCTTCATTCAGCTTCTAGAGCGTACTAGGAGCCCCAATACCCAGGTTTCCCTAATATTTAAATTCTGGCTTCAATTAGAATGTCAGCATTTGTCTTTGCTTCCTGCACCTTATGATCAGTCAATATATCTGGGTATACACCTGCAGAATGAAAAAAATAGAACAGATCCCTCTATCAATGCTAACGAATGCTAACAGCTGATTGTCTGCTAGCTCCATTTGGCTGAGAATTTTCCAACTGGCACCTTCGATCAGCTGATCAAGGGATGTCGGGAAGAAGGGTGCCTATAGAGGCACCCACTGCGAATTATAGCTGGTTCATCATGAATTAGCTGAAATATGCCCCGTGCATGCACTTCTTAAGGCCGTCCATCACATTGATGGGCCAATAGAAAACCATGAGAGATTGGAGAAGAGTCAAGAACCATCATACCATACAATAAGGTGTGTCTTTTTTAAGCAGATTAAAGTATCTGCCAATTAAATATGGTATGGAAATATGTGCAATTTTGCCACTATTAAAGAAAGTTCCAGAATAAAGGAACAAGTACCGACTTCCTGGCTAAAGCCAGTATATTCATTTTTTTTTTGAGCTTTGACAGTGATGGTTTGAGGTGCCTGCTGTACCACTCTATAGACAGTTAATCACTGGCTGCAGGTTTGCTTCATGAAGAGTGGGTGTGATTTGCGCAAACAGCAAAACACATCAAATTCACTTAGAATTCACATGTAAGATTAATGCTTTTAAGCAAATAATGACATGCCAAATATGTTACCCTGTTGTAAAAACTCGCACACTGCTGCAGAAAAGCAAAAACAATTGCAAGCAACTATTTGCATTACTGGTTGTTCATAAAGTGTGACACTGGTATTTTTTCTCATAGTTCATTGCTGATAAATCTATTATTCCTTCAATAGTAAAAACCTCCCTAAATATTTTATTTTCCTTGTCAACAACCCGCCAATTTATATTTTAAGTGAATCCGGCTGTGAAATATCTAATCAATTTGTAATTAATAATAATACAAAATGCACAAATTGCTTTAATTAAGTGATTAGTCATAATCTTCATTGGAAATGGCCATATTGTAAAACCCTACACCTCCCTGGTCTTCAGCCCCCTATTATTTTAGTATTGCTCTCTATCTAAATAGAGTTTTCCTGCTGATTTCTGTATAATGTTTAGTAAATATTATTTGTCATATATATTTGGTATATTATGTTTAGAGCTTTTGCAGGACTTGTAGTCATTTATAAAATGGTTATTTAGAAAATGGTACCCATTATTTTGCCAGCGTGCAATCCTGTGCCTTGTATATAGCTAAAGTACAAAACATTTTAAGTTATTATCACTACTTAAGTCTGGATAAAAAAACATCAAAGCAAAAGCAAAGAAAATTGCATCTACTGTATATATGTTCTTTGATTTGAGGGATTAACATGATCATCAACAATCAAAGATAGAATTTAAACAAATTAAGTCAGAAATTCAAAAGTTTATTTATTTTTAGGCAGAATTTGCTTGCATGCTTTTGTTGTTTGCATGGTGGTATTATGTAGCACAAGAAATAGCTTTTATGACCGTGTTCATTGTTAATGTTTTTCACCTCAGAAAACCAAAAGTGACAACAGTATGCTGAAGCGAAAGCAAAGCTCGAGAGTAGAGGCCCAGCCCGTGACTGATTTTGGTCCAGATGAATCATTGTCTGATAATGCAGATATTCTGTGGATTAATAAGCCAGTAAGTGCTTTATTTCTCTTTATTCTTGTTATCATTTTGTTTTGACATCTTAAAGTGACTCTAAACTCAGAAGTTAAATCTTAATAATGCATTCAAGTACCCTAGCTGTTAACAATACTGCACCTTAATTGTGTATCTATTGTGACTGAGATTGTTGTATTAGCGATTTAACCCTTGCTGAGATCTCTATGCCTCGCCTGTATAAGCAGATACAATCACCGCAGACAATCCTTATCAGATAGCTGAACTCACCAAATACCTTTTTCATCCAAAAAGTTATTTATTGAACGCAGCAGGGTTACAGCAGACAACAGCATAAAGCAGATGAATGAACAGACTGCTTTTGCAGGTCAGAGATGGTAATGTTTCCAAGCAAGCATATACATGTGCATGTGGCCATATTACAGTCAGCCATGACACTAAATGACTACTTGGAGAAGAAGGGGGAAATACATCATAAATGGGAGGGAACACAGAGAACATGGGGAAATAACCAAAATGCTCACAAGGTGGCAGTATAATAACTAGCTATACAACTGCTATAATACATGACTTAAGGAAAATTAACTATGTGATTCTCATTTCACATTAATATAAGTATTATCCATAACTATTAGGGCTCCGGAAATTAACGATTAATCCCTCGATTAATCGTTATTTTTTTTGATCGATCAAAATTATTTTGATCGATCAAAGTTCTTTTGATCCGTACTCACCTCTCCGCCGGCTTCCAGGTCTTCTGTCGGAGATCCTGTGACGTCACATACATCAACGTCACCTGACTCCTCCCCCCTTCCCCAAGTGGCTGTCGGCTAATAAAAGGAAGGGGAGTGACATCACTGGACTCCTCCACCTTCCCTTCGTTACCCGATGGAGCTGCTTGGGCCGGTGAGTACACATCCCGGCCGGGAGAGAAACACTCATGTTTAGTTTGCTAATTTGTAATAAAATTGTAGTCCATCACAGGAGTGAGCTTGTAGTGTTGTAGTGGTGGCTACTTTACACACAGGGACCTTAGCAAACAGAAGTGGCCCCCCTCCAGAAGAAAGGACAGTGTCAGCATCAGTACCGTATTTACTCTCCCTGCTGCCCCAAGGCCAGGTTCCACAATGCGCCCCCCCCCCACCCCCAATGGAGAATGCCAACCAGATACCGGTGGTGGTAGGGTTGGTTTGAATTTTTTTATTTGTTTTTTTGTTGTTGTTTCTTTCTTTTCTTTTTGTTTAACTTTTTTATCACTTTTTTTTTACTTTACATTTTTTTATTTATCTTGTCATCTTTTACTTTTATTTTTGTATAATTTTTATGTTATTTTTTATTTATAATTATTTTCTTATTATTTTTTTACTTTTTATTTATTTTTACTTTATTTTTTAATCATTATTACTTATTATTTTTACTTATCTTTTTATTTTTATTTATGTAATTATTTTTTATCAATTTGTTTTCACTTAACTTTATTGCTATCACACAGGAGCTAACGAGCTAACAAGCCCCTGTGTGATAGCATTTGGAGGTGACAGGTTCTCTTTATTGACCCTGTCACCTCCAATACATGAGTTCCAGCACACCACTGTGCTGGAACTCCTGTGACAGGTGAGAGGGGAAGACCGCTCCTGTTTACACGGAGCGGCGGGGGTTACTTTTAACCCTGCCGCTCTGCTCACTGCTCTCCATCCTGAAGACGTCGGCGGCCAGCGAGGAGAGGACGGGAGCCGGGAGGACGGAGCCAGCATGCAGAGAGGTAAGTGCAGGGGAGGGGCAGGGGGAGGACGGACTGGCTGCAGTCTAATTACAAGTGATTTTGGCGACATCGCCAGGATCACTTGTAAAGAAGCAAGCTTCCCTGTTCTACATTTAGCCCTGCTTGTGCAAAGCAGGGCTAAATGTAGAACACAAATTACCCCCCGGCGCTCGGAACTCCATGTTCTGGGCGTCGGGAGACTTCAAACCTGTGCCGCCCCTCTTCTCCCTGCCGCCCCGAGGCCTGGCCTCAGTGGCCTTGTCGGGAATCCGGCCCTGGTCAGCATGAATTCAGAGATGATTTGAGGCTCTACAGCCGAGTAATACACAAATAGGGTACATTTTTGTTAATAGTTAAGGTACTTGAGTGCATTTTTAAGGATTAACTCCTGAGTTTAGTGTCATTGTAATTATTGTTTATTTTTACCATGTGGAAAATAGATGTATTTTGGTATGTTCCTGCCTAAAGCCTGTTTTACATGAGTATCACACCATCCAAGTGTTTTCAGTGGTATCATCTGAGAATGTTCCTGTGTTTCTAGTATGATTCTGTATCTGTAACAGATGAGTGGTATTAATATGTCAGAAATGACTAGAGATAAACTGGCATTCCTAATTTTTTATAATAGAAGACCCCCCTCCAACGTGCATGAATGGTAGCTATCAGGGCCCAATCACACCATAATGCAGCCAATGCACTTTAACATATACAAATTTGGCCCTGCACATTATTCTTCGTGCAGGGCACAGCAACAGACGGGCTGCGTATAAAACTTAAACTGCATGTGCATGGCAGCACACTATAGCACTGCGTTGGGGGGAAATTGACTTTGTATTGCAATCCGCAACAACATACTTCTACATTGCATTACTGTGCATTGTGGTAAGGTATATTATGGTGTGAATGGTATGCCCACATGTCAAATGAAAGAAAGCTTGTTCAAGTATCTGAGTGTTGCCAAATGATCTTAATGACTATCTTAACCCTTTCATTAAGAAATTGGAATTTTAAAAATCACATTGTTTTATTATCATGCCCAAGAAAACACTGCAGTGTTAGAAATGGCATAGCCAAATATCACAGAAAAAATACCTAAAGAGAAACTGTAATGATTTGGGGTCAATTGTATTTTGTATATTTTTAGATTTTTTTTCTATACTCTATAATATATTTTTTTGCCTTTGATATAAAACCACCTAATCAAAATCTAACTTGAACTTGAACTATGGTGCAGGGATGGATTGTGCT